ATGCGCCTATAGTTCTTACAACTGAAAATCCTAATACTACAAAAATACAAACAACAATTAACTCTTTATTAGAGAGACGTGCTGAAATAACTCAACCACTTTCTGAAGAAAAACAAATTCGCGTTACTTATCATTTAGTTGCTTGGTTAATTGAGGCAATGATGCCTTTAGATTGTATTAATCATGACCGATTTAAAGATTTCTGTTACGAAATTAATCCACGATTTGGAGTTCCCTGTACTAATACAATTAAAAATAAAGTCACGGAGTCAGTATTATATACACGGTCTAATTTAAATAAGCTAATAAATGAAATAATGATATCTGTAAGTTTTACAACAGATTTATGGACCCAAAACCATACCCCATTCATTGGTGTAACTGCTCATTGGCTTGCAGAAAACTTTGTAATGCATCAAGCCTTAATTACAATAGAAAATTTTGACTACCCTCACACGGGTGATCGTATCGAAGACTTTTTGCGCAAAGTTCTCGTGGATTGAGATATAGAAGATAAATTGTTTGCAGTAAGTACAGATAATGCTGCGTCAATAGTAAAGGCAATTCGACAATTAGAAACCACTCACCTTGGATGTGCAGCTCACACAATTCAACTTGCGATTACGGATGGAATAAAAAAAAGTGACACCTTAATTGAAAAGGCCAAAGTAATGAATAATTTTCTTGTTAACCGTGATAAATATAGATCTTGGTTCCTTAGAATTCAGGCTGAACTAAATAAAAAAAAATATACATCAAATTCAACAAAGCAACCTAATATATTAGAGCCTATCTCGAGTGATACTGCTACGCGCTGGAACTCCATATACCTTCTTCTTCAAAAACTTATAGATCTTCGTGAAGCGATTATTGAATTAGCTGAAAACCTAGTAAAAGATCCTGATAGAGTAGTTAGATCAGACGGAAATAATTTAAAAGAAAAAATAATTGAAGATGAAGATTGGCAAGGATTAATTGAATTATGTGATCTTTTTCATCCTTTTGCACGTGTATCTGTTTATATGGGTAGGAACTAATATCCAACATTAGAAATGGTATACCCGACTATAAAACGTCTTTTTAAGCATCTTGATAATATAAAATATCAACTTACTTATTCGTCAGTTATTGAAACCCATAAATATTTTCGTGAATCAATGTTAAATCGCTGGGAGGATCCTAATATAATTGGATGGCTTGCTACAATTTTAGACCCTCGTTTTAAATCGTTATCAGGTGCATCATCTGATGAAAAAAATGAAGTAATTAATGAATTACGAAAAAGAATTAATCTTTCTATGCAATCTAAAAAAGATTTATCAAATACTGTTAGTTCAAGATCTGATATGTCTTCATTTTATGATGATGAGATTGAATTAATCTCACCTGTCGATACTGAACTACAAGTATACTTTTCCATTCCACCAATTCCTAAGTATGAGCTCACGGATTCTTCATACGAAAGCTGTAACCCTTTAAATTGGTGGAGAGATCATCAAAATACTCTACCGCTTCTTGCTGAGCAAGCAAGAATCTTTCTCGCTGTGCCTGCGACTT